GTGGCATTTTATTACCTAACGAAAGACTGTCTAGAATTCATTATAGCTCCTAGATTTTGATGTTCTTTTGAGATCCTTCCAGACTTGGACCAAGACCGAAAAGCCATAAAAAGGACCTGAGTGTTATGTATTGTAATTGGTACCCACATCTAACCATTGCCTTTCATCGATATTTAAAGCTTTTTTGAAACACTCTAAACCTTTTGTCTAGTCCCTAGAGCTTTCAAGGCCGCCTTTTTTAAGCTCGTCTGTACCTATGAAAAGAGTCTATCAGAAAATGACTCACGAAGCTCTTGGAAAACGCTTAAGATACTCTTAAACACTTTCGCGAGCATTAGACGTATTTTCCAGAGCACCTAAAGGTTTTTGAGAATACTCGCAAGCTTTCCAAATTCGTCTACGTCTCCGGAAAGTCGCTTTTCCATAGATTTCTGGACCCCACTACTCCTTTTAGAAAACATTCTATTTTATATTCCAAGATTTTATTAAAGATTTTCCTTTTAGAAAGTTCTAGATCTCACTAGTCAATAGAATTTCTACGCCCTCTCCAGAGTCTTCTATGTTCTATAAAGAGCACTCTTGATCCTTTGCAAATCTATATAGGCTCAACTAGCTCTGGTAAGGATCCGGTAAGGGCGTGAATAGGAAGTCTTCTAAACGCCATCCAGAACTTTATACCTGTTCTTCAAATCTTTCGAAGGTGTTCCAGATCTGAATCCAGGTTCTTCTAGGAATTTTTGAAGCATCTCGGGGTTTCTACTGATCTCCGTTGCACAGCTCCCCGGTGTTGTCTAAATGTCTACCCCTCACGAATACCGGTATCTTTAGCAAAGTCCAGGGTTTTGATAGGGCGAACGTTTGTTACTTCCTCTTGTGTAATTTTCTCATTCCCAGGAAGGCGTTCCCTTGCCTTTGTGTATGCCTTACAATGGCAAATGACGTTGTGTGCTGTTTTTTCTTCCTCACCACAACCCCTGTCCCCATTTTCTGCAGGAGTTTATTAAACCGACAGTAGCCTGTGACCATCTCTATCGCAAGTTAGATCTTTTTCCTACTTAGCTTTAAGATGAAAGATGCTAATTCGCGTTTGTGGTTTCCAGAAACATCTTGGAGTGATTCTGCCCTGTACTTTCCGACCAGTCCTCTTTTGTATCGAGCGGGGATTATCGTCTTAAACAGTTTTGTAAGACAACCTGATTTAGTTATCCTCTAAATTGTCATTCTGAGGGTTTTATTTTAGAGATTAGATCAGGTGAGTGAGTGTCCCATCTTTCACGATCCCTCCTCGCCATTGACTCTCAACCGGTATGACCCTTTAAGTCTCTCTACCCTAATTACTAGGTGCACTGGTCCAAGAGGGTCTCCATAGCTGCCATAGGGGTCATTATGCCGCCGTAATTCCAAGGTAAGCACCACACCCTAGACCACACCAGTGACGCATACGTAATGACTGGCTTAATCATTTTAGTGTATATTCTTTGGACACCCCACTTCATTCAGCTTCAAGGTCACCATTGCGGTCTCTGTATAACCCCCCCCCCCTCCTCAATTTTCTTCAAGGAACCGATTCTGCCCTCTGTTCCCTTTTTAAAGAGCTCTTTGGAGCCTGGCACCTTCTGGAATTTGATCAATTTCCTCGTAGTACCTCGTTTTGCCTTTTTTATGGCCTTATTATATTCGGTGAGTGTGGTTCGGTATGGACTCCATTCCCTCGTGCCACCATGCCACTTTATTTGAGGTTCTCCCTTCTTTTGATTAATTTTTGGGTACACCTAATTTTGTCGATGTTTCCCTCTCGGAATCAAATCTTGTAAAAGTCGCCGCCTGCAGGCAATTGGTCTATCTCAGCTGCTCCTCGAACAATTGTCCAATAAAAGTATTGTTTGGGGCTGCTCACCATGTTAGTAAAGGCTTATTATTATCTCTTTTAGAGCCTCATAGCCATAGTAGTCAATTTCATCAATTATAACAAAAATTTCACTTATTTTCAATCAAAAACCACCAAACATGGCAACGACCAAACACATATTCTCCCCAATAAATACAGTTAGAGCCGAATGGCTGGCATATTTAAAATAGTCAAAAATTTTATTATGATTACAGGATATAAAAATGTCCCAACAAATAACTGAAAACGTTTATTAACGATCCATTAATATTCAAACACCATAAAGCCGTAATCTTCCATCTACAGAAACTACCAGTCATTGGCTTTTTAGTACGTTTTGCCATGTACTGGAAGCAAAAACTTTGACTTCACACAAATGTCCGTCATTTGCGCCATAAATTTGCATACCCTGCACAGACATTTAGTCCATCGATAATAATAACGGTGTCGCGATTTGATCTTCAATCGAAATTTATAACTTCGAGATTACTATTTTACGATCAAAAAACTACGAAGGCATATTTAAGTGCAATCGTTTGATTGCTTTTATATTACCTTTCGCTTTGTCAGATGTGCTGAAAAACCTTCCCCTAGGTTAATTTTAAATGCCTACGCATTAGGGCATGAATTTATAGCAATTAACCGCATCCGGAATGGAAGGATATAAATTAATGTTTAAATACCTATCACTGAATACGGCAGGATGTTTAGCGTTACGTTTTTGATTGTGAGAAAGTGAAAAGTGTGGAACAATTTCCAAATAGACAATGCTCCTTTTTTATCCGTATGCCTCCGCCACAACGCGCTATCACTTTTCCAGAGATTTGAAAGGGAAAGAATTTTGATTATATTATATATAAATAAGTGCCGCATTGGGTACTACCCCCTATATCTATATAAATAAAAATTAATGTCTGTATTTATGCATGCTAGTTTAAATGGAAGAGCGAGGTGAGGCGGCGCAGCCGCCGAAACCGAGCCTATGTAGCATCCAAAAAAAGGAGAAGGCGGTACAAGTTCGCTTTAAATAATGATAATACAAAGAATATGATATGACCTTGCTAGTTAGGATCAAGCGATCTCCAAGAACTTCTTGTGGCTCAGATAACTTGGGAGTAGTTACGATATAACGGACAGATAGACAGAGAAAGCGACTGCATTAACGGTAAATGAAAATGTATGATATGAGATCGCATAACGGCTTTGTAGCTTAGTGGTAGAGCGTTGGGCTACAAACCCGGAGATCGAGTTTTCGAACCTGGGCTGAGGTAGCAATTTTTCATCTGTGGGAGAGATGTGAATTTCCTTAGTTTCGAGCATTCTGCCCGCTACTCCGAATTAGGTTTTCCTGCAATTTTCCTAATTCGTAGGTAAATACCGGAGTAGTTTAGAACAACTTAAGATCTTCTGCGGGGGCACCTCTAAAAAGCATTATGAAGGGGTACAATAAATCAATAACTCAAAAATAAATTAATCTGAGAATTTTTGATACCTAAGAAGTTTTTGAAGCGCATGATTCCATTTTAACAACTAAACATCTTTTATTCAAAAAATGAAAAGCTGAATAATTCTCTTAAAGGGCCTTTTAATACCGTTGAAGACTTTTAAGAGACTTTAAGGGTTTTTAGAGTTTGTGGACGCGGAATGGAACGAGTAATATTAAGGGCGGCGAAGAAGGGTAGGCGTTTGTCATTATCTAGAGAACTGTCTATTAGACTATCTATGAGATTTGAAATAAAAGCGTATTTCAAATAGTGGTTTTACTGGGTTATTACAGTACGTTTTTGAACAGCATGAAGGGGTCTATTCTGTATATTGTCGTTAACAAACAATATCGTAATGGTAACGATTTGATCTTGAACGACAACTATATTCCGTATCACTGTTCTATGTTATATGTCATGCAGAATAGAGAAAGTCGTTGCAGAACGATAACCGCTGTGGAACGACATCGTTACGCGTTAGAGAATAGGCCCTTAAGTGTGTGACAATTTATCATTTTTCCACTTAACAACTTGAAATTATGTTTCATTCAAAAAATTCAAACATGAGCATGTTTCCGTTGTAGAACACGTAAAATTAGAGTTTGGGAGTCCACTTGGCAAGAAATACGATAAACATTTAAAACACTTTTCAAACCTTTTATCAACCACGTTAGATGCACTTCTCATTTTCCTTCCTCAGGGTAGTTTGTTTCAGGTGAATTTATCTGGAGTGAGTTATTTAAGCGGGCAACCATAAGATAATTTAGTGTAATTACACACTAATTTTGTAACATTTCTAGGGTTTTTTGATAAATGGTCGATTGTTCTCGTAGTAAACAAGATTAATGCAACGATCAGTTCAGGGTTGCATCTCGCATGCAAGAAAAAGGTACTAGGACCCCAACTTATTTTTCCGAAGATGTACGATGACATTTTTCTTAAGTTAATAAAGTAACGCACACACCCCACCTCTTTGTTAAGATTCTTCATCAATCAAGAATGCAGCAATGCAACGGAAACGCTCACGCGTTCGTTTCAAAGGGGGCAAGAGACAAGAACTGGTGAAATAAATCTTGAAGGACTGCGCTTAAAATAAATTAAAAATGTACTGCGAAGTAGAGAAGACAACGACTGCTGAATATCTTAGTATAACTTCTATTACCGAATTATGCAACGGTCATTAAAACGACCTTCGGTGTCCTTAAATTTTTTACGGGAATACTGCGATAATTACATAGAAAAAATACATGTGTCGCGTTTCTAAAAAAAAGGTACTGTGCTATTAAGTAATTAAAGAATAATGGCACTCGTTGGGTAATTTTAATCTGTGAACTGTCTACGATAGATAAGGCTCAACGAAATTCAGAAGTCGTGTGAGAACCGCGAGATAACAGTTTCCTGAAGGTAGCATTGTTTGCCTTAGTGTGTGATTTCCGGATAGAGAGCTCGTGAAATACGTGAGTTTTCCATTTAAAAGATTAAAAATACTCAATTTTGTTGTCTATAAACATTTAAAGATCAAGTACATGAAGTCGATTTTGGTTCTTCAAAAAACCGAATCCTTAGAGCCTTTTTTTGTAAACAATTCAGAAACTGGAAAAATCTTCTTCGATGGTAGAATAATACAATGCAATGAATTTTTTAGTGAACAAATTACATAAGCAATTAATGCGCATCCTTGAGAAACCTTTCAAATTTTTGTTGGGTTTCCTTCTGTCGAATTTCTTGGGAGATCTTCGCCAAGTCGTACACGTTTAACTCGACCGAATCGTTGGAAGCCTTAGATCCGACTCTACCCCTCGCCATACTCTTGTAAACCCTTAACGACGGACTCTTTTGAATGTTCGACGGTCTCTTCTCCTCGGAATTCAACTTCCTCATGTGAAGGTCCACAATTACCGCCAGCCTATCCACGCCAATTTTGGCGATGTTATCGTCGTCGACTTGCTCTAAGCTTGTTACCGGCAGCTTGCGTCGCTTTGGTCCGCTCGACGTGTCGTCGGCCGAAAGGACGGTGGCTCTTGACGTTTTCGGATCGTCGAGATCCAACGTTCTCCGACTGAAAACAAATAAAAGCGGCTACAAAAAGTCGTACTTATTATGCACGAAATGCGACACGCAGTAGAAACGATGTAAATTTGTCGCTTCGCATACCAATTCTGATCTGAGGATCCGTTTTCTATGAATAATCGGGGACTTGAATAGAAATTGAGTTGATTTGATGCGCTTTTGTAAATTGCTCACGTAGGTCTGGGCGACATGAGTTTAATGGTCGGTAATAACAGATTTTTTTACTGCAATCGACCTAGAGGTTTACTTACGTTAAATTTCCTATGTCACTCGCTTCGGTTTCTTCCGCACGGGCCTCAGGTCTGGACCTGCTCGAAAACCCGTCAATTGAATTGTAGCTCTTCTCGTAGAAGTAACTGCTTATCATCTCCTCCTTACTGCCCACCTCCCTATCGTACATATCACCCCAAGTACTTTGCGAGGGATTTTGTAGAACATTGCCTCTAATGTAATTTACCAGCGATTTCAAACTGAGAGCCGAAGGCGCCACCTGCAGTGGTACCGTTGCCGCTTTAAACGGTTGAGTTAAATGAAAGCACTCGCAACTGGATACAAAAATGTATGACACGGACGATTATTCCCGGTTTTACACACCTGGAAACGATCAACTGCTTTCGCAGTATCTGGAGAAAGTCCTGCATCTCCGGTTTTTGAGCGATCCCCATTAAAACGTCCCCGTCCTGCGCCTTCGTCTGAAGATCTTTCATCTTTTCTGGATTCGAAACTTGTAAGGCTTCAAGAACCGTTTGTATCAGCAGCATTATTTTATCGTTGATGATTGTTCTCTCCGCTAACCGTCCGTCCGTTATCACCTCTTTCTGCTCATTATTGACGTCTAAAAATAATTGTTGAAGAATGATACGGGAGTAAAGTGATTAACCTAAAACGTAGGTAGGTGAGAGTTTCGGACACCTGTTCGTTACGCGACGTTTTCGAGACCTCTCGATCAGTTTTTCGAGGGGTGACTGATCCTTGGACAGGAAGCTGATTGGTCTACGACTTCGAGCTGGAGGTGTCAGCGTTTCGGCACGGTGAGCCGTCAGAAGGTGCAGGCACAGGATCTTATCCACGTCCAATTCGCCATCGGTGAACAGCATGTCGTGGATATCCTGTAAGGATTCCTTATTGAAGGTTTCGAACGTTTCCAATACTCGCCTCATAGCAAACCGACGACTGCGCCTCCAAACGTCCCTTTCCCGTCTAAAATCATCACTGCGTGATCTGTATTTCAGCACTACCCTTACTTTGTCCAAATAAAAATTTAGCACCGACCGCCTCGCTTTGAACTGTTGGGCCATTGTGTCATGCATGCGTACGTCGTCCCTGCGTTCACGTTCGATCCTGTACAGCTGCGAGGTCAGTTCGGACCTTCCGCACCTATTCTTCATTTCCCAGCTCATTTTTGGCCGATCACATCATAATTTATTACACTCAAATTCGACCCCGCTGTCAAGGCGAGAACTGAAATTGATATCGGCCGCCGCGATCTTGTTAAACGACACCTATGTCGACCATTTGCCGTCTAATAGCGTAAATTTAGACGATATTTCGTAACCAATTACTCACACTGCGATGGTTTAAATATTGAGACACCAAATATTTGGACAACCCAGTTCGATGGAAATATGCAGTATTATAACGGAATTTAAGCTTTATGGTTTAATCAGAAATCGTGTTGGGTATTCGATGGAACAATAAGCAATGATTTCGGTTTTCGGAAAATCCTGAAAATGTTGCTTTTGGAGCGATGTCCAAATACTCACGGCCCCCGATTTTCATTAACAATTTCGCATTTTCAAACCGGATAGGGGTTGAATTTTTATACCTATGCATTTATTGATACAAGAGGATCCTCTATGATGATAATTAATTCGTCCGTGCAATGGCAGGAATATAGGTACCAATTTTATTGGTGAAATTTAAGGGATGATGTGTGAAAATTATGATTAAATTAAATATCGTGAACAATTTTTGATCAACCACCCTTAAAAATACAACTTGCAGTCCCTCTTACCTTTTTCGTACAAATAACGAATACGTTTACGAATTTTTTCCGCACAATGGCAGGAATGTAATGTACCTATACATTTGATTGACGAAATTTAAGGGATGATATTATGTGTAAATTATTACAGGGTGAAAACGAAAAGTTTGACTTTTTGGGATGTTATCATATCTACCCATGTAAGATAGAAAATATATAAAAACTGGCTATGTTAGATATTTTTACGTAGAATCCTGTGGATTAGTCGAAAAAACTTTTGAAATTTTTTTAATGAAACACCCTGTATATGTTAACGTCAATTTTCATTTTCCCAATTACGTTGATGTATCACTGCGCCGAACTTCGGTAGTAGGTCCGCGCACAAATCGCATGAAAATTAAATAATATAATTAGCAGAGTAAGGATTACTATTTAATTACAAGAAAAATAAATAGATTTACAATTCATTGTAAATAAATCACGTCAGCGGGTGAAAGTATTAAGTATTAATGTAAAAGCAAAAATTAAACGATATGAATGCAAAATAAATTTACTGACAGTAACAAAATGAATACGGTGAATACGGTACTTACAAACATACAAAAATCTTACATTTCGGTTAAAACACCAACGGCAAAAAGGCCGACGATTTAAATACGGCACGGGTGCAAAGGTAAATTTACGGAAAAGCTCAAAAATTACGGTACCTCACTGGAAAACATGCAAAAGGAATAAAGATCCCCTCTTTACACTTTATAAAATTCGGTCGTGCCGTAGAGGGAATGCCCAGTGTATTCGCATAAGAACGTCCAAATAATTATGCGACCTGCCTACGTCCTAAAAATCTGTAATTGACCAATTCAAATTAATTAAAGGCGCATTTTTTCAGACCACCCACGACTTAATCGGATGCTGTTTCTGCAACTCATTAATTTGAGTACTGTTAATTATACTCACTTACATGTACGAGATGAAATTCATACTTCTAATTAACCCGCATTGTCTCTTGGAATGTCTCAGGTAAAAGGTCTCTTATGAAACTAATCCCGATGTAAACCTGCATGGCGTTGCAATTTTAATGTTGGTTTTAAATTAACAGAGCAAACCAAAATCATCGAATAATTCTGGACTAAAGTTCTAAAATATTAATTTGTCCTCGTCTTCAGAATGACAAAAGCTTTCGGGCGTAACAAAGACAATTCAAATATCTTCACGGTAACGGTTGCAAAGGGCGGATTAATTTAAGTTTTTTTACGGTAACAGCGAAACACAACTCCAGAAATTAAATCACTTACCACTAACGAACAGATATCGGCAGATATCGGGTGTTCACGTACCGGATGATCATGAATATATGTACACTTCAAGGCGGAAAATAGGTGCTTCATTACATGACAACCTACGTTTTTTTTTATATTGAGATGCCATTTTTGATAATTGCCTTAGTTACCATGGATACAATAAACAAAGTAAAATCGCCATGAAGCAATAGCCTACTATTTAAAACAGTAAAAACTAAGGTTTTTTTTATTTTGGAAAATATGTAGGCTCTGATACGTCAATGTAATCACGAAAAAGAAAAAATTGAGTTCAAGATATACAGGGTGTTGCATTTAAAAAATGCCGACGTTGGGTCAAATCGCAGAAACGGTCGTCAAAAATTTTTTTGGGTACGCCACTAGATTTCAACGTAAAAATATCTAAAATAAGCAGTTTTCTCTTCTTTTTCTATCTTAGATGGCTAATAAATATGATACCTTTAAAGTCCAAAGTCAAACTTTTCGTTTTCACCCTGTATCTTAGAAACAAAACTAGCTAGATTGATTCTGTTTGTTGCATTAAAAGTTTAACGAAAAATTGGTAAAGATCGCGAAAACCGCAAATCTCTGCCTTTAAAAACAGCTTGCTATGGAAAACGAGTACATTAAAAAATTATTTCTATACAATGCCAGGATCGCATGTACGTATTTTATTAGCGAAATTTAGGGGATGATATCCGAAAATTATGATTCAATTAAATACGTGAACAATTTTTGATCCTCCACCCCTAAATTCAACACACAAAAACGAATACTTTTAAATATTATATTTATATTATACAATGCATTTGTATTGATCTATTATTCCATGGGCGTACATGAAAAATAATTTAAAAAAATTAAATATACAGTATCTTTTTTATTCGTTATTTGAAAAGAGCAACCAATTTACTGTACGCCAGCATAAAATATGCGCTTGATTAATATGTATACACAAAAATGGAGAAAATCATTGAGTTTAGGGGGCAATATGTGTACAATGACAAAATTAAACCGACCACCCCAAAAATTTGACTTGCATCTATTCGTAATAATTTTTTTCTATGAAAAACCGCGAGTATATTAAACAAAAATTTCCATATACAGCGCACGGCTAAAATATGGAATAAATTCATCTAAAAAATTCTTGCACACGTCTATCATAATTTTTTCCCTTTTGCACTTTTTGCGCTAAAGAGAAAATATACATGATACGTCAAAAAGTAGAAATTGCACAGTATTTCATTTTCAAATTCTGTGTCAAATTATACGCATAATAAAAATAATTCGAAAATGGATTTAAAAAAATACTGTTACACAAATTTGGTTAACGCCAGCATCAAAGAAACGCGTCCCTACTTACAGCGCAGATCGTAATAACCGCATTTCCGTTATCTCTTATCAGCAATAAAAACGTGCGTTAATTAAATTTCGTGCGATAATTAAACTTATATCGCAAACGACCAGATGTGTTACTTATACTTGAACACACAATTTTACGTTTGACAATTCAACTCATGTATAAAAAATCGCATAAGCCGCAGTGCAATTGTCACTTTGATAGCGGCAAAAGTTACCTGCAACTTTTCCAGCGACAAATGCACTAGTGGTTTTTTCACTTATTCATTTTCGAACCAATTATCGCATTATCCTTTCCCATATGACTAGTTTGACGTCTATCAATAATTGATTAGTTTGGTGAATTTCTTGTTCGTTAAATTGTCCTGCCGAATTACACTCGAGGTTTGTATTAAACCGAGTAAATTTGGGTTGTTGCAATTCAAATCTGTTTCCAGATTTTCATTTCCTAAACAACCCAAATTTACTCGGTAAAATACAAACCTCTTGTGCAATTATAAGTGACAATTAAATACACAAATCTAGACAATGCAATTTTTTAATTTAAAAATAGACACTGAGATAACAAATTCAAATAAAACGAACCAACTATGGGCTTATTTCGTAAATAATCCCCCAGATTTACTTAATAAATTGAAATAATACCACATACAGGGTGTCCCGTCATCATTTTTGGTGTTTAGACCGAAATACCGTGACATGGGGGATGATATGCGTAAATTATGATTCAATTAAATACGTATAAACAATTACTGATGTACCACCCTTAAATTGAACTTGCCTTCCCTCGAAACTTCTTTAAATGGAATGGACGATATGCGTTAATTATGATGAAATTATTAAAAGTGAAAAATTGTTGATGGACCACCCCTAAATCGATCTCGTAACTTTTTCGTATGAAAGTCGGTTACATTTGGAAATTATTTCGATTCAATGGCAGAAATGTAAGTAACAATTTCATTGGCGGATTTTAAGGGATGTTATGTATAAATATGGTTCGTTTAAATAAACTTGCATATCTTGTAATTTTCTCGTATGGAAAATGAATCCATTTTGGAAAATCTTTAAGAAACCAAAGGATCTGGTAGATCAGAGGAAAAAACCTAGGGTTTGTGGAAAATGGAAAATCGACATTAACTGTTCCGAAGGTCTTCATGGAATTCTCAACGATACATTCTATATTAATTTATCATTCTATCATCGATTGCCTACATTAATAAAATTAGCAATAATTCTCGAAGTTGTAGTCGCAGTTAGGTGCGATTTCATAACGCTAAAGCAGAATCATAAAACTAATAGTTTTTTGTGCTTGGATGTTCTCCAATTTGTGTAAATAAATCAAAGAACGACCAAAACTTTTACGGTGTCTTTAAATCAAAATTACGAGAGGAATTCCATAATAAAAATTTAAATACTGACCACCACAAACAAATCTTTAATTCCTATTCAATTCCAAATTTTATTTAGCACTTAATCTTTTTTAATAACCGTCCTCCGCATTAGCATTAAAGCTACCATCTCGCGTACATTAATCCTCATATATCTTCCCGAAGTGCTTCATCAAATTACTGTACCAGTCTAGCGCTGCTCACAATTTTGAAACTATAATTTATACGCATTCATCACACGCGGTACTTGACGAGCGTGTATAAAATCTATTTTAAAAACGACACCCCGCGTTAAATTTAACCCTAAAAATCCCCGCTGCGTTCTTTATGTATTAAAGCACATTAAGCGTCTTTAGTTGTCTACGAAAAAAAAAGACCAGTTCGTCATTTTATAAATATTTGGGTCCCACTTACACCTGCCCCAGCTACCTATAAAGGGTTCCTGCGGGGAGACTCAATGTATTGAAATGCAAATTTCGTATTGTTTTTATAGATAAGGGTTAGTGCACGATTAATTTATACCGCGGGTGTTGTACCTACCAATTACGATAATTGTTTACGCCGAAAAGTTTAATTGCGCCGACTTTTAAAAAAAGAGAACGACGAGGAAGTTTGTAATTAATTTTGTGCCTTCGTTACTGGCAGTGTAATGATTTGTTAGCTGTGATTTTACCACAATTAACAGTGTTTCGTGTCGTGCAATTTTGCATAATTCACGTTTTTTTGTTAGATTGTCAATATCCTTTACTCGTTTTCATTGAAAATGCGTTTTTTAATATTTTTCATGCCGTTCATCCTGCAAACGATGTTGATTAATTAGAATGTAGAAACGGGGATTTTGGCGAGATTTATTCGCATATTTTTAATTTTTTTGGTATAACTTCATTATGTAAAGTAAAAAAAAACTAATCAGAAACTGCCCAGAACATCATTTCTGATATTTTTACTAGTCTAAAAGAGGTAACCATTGAACTGCACCCAAAACCTTATAGAAAAGGTGCAATTTTATAATGATCCTACAATTGTCCTGGAGGATTTCCATAAAATTGGTCGCTACTGAAATTGAACTGATCCCTAGCGGTGCTCCCCTCCGACAAGAGTGTTGAGATGAGCTTCTAAAAGGAAAAAAAGAAATAGTTAGTGTTTGATGTCCCCCAAACTCAGTAAAGTGACCCACTCAGAGCCTCAATCTCAATTGCGGGTTTGAAATTTCGTATAGAAACAGGCTGGAAGTTCTGAAATATGCTTTGAGGAAGTTTGAATTCAGTCATCCCAACCAGTTTCCTGCGGAGGTAGGGTAGAAGACCTACCTCAGCACTCTTCCCCTCCCATTGGCTTATATTTTTTTAATGCTTTCTTGTGCTGGGATTCGTTCGCATCCGCGTTTATCTTCCATTAAATGTGAATCAGTCCGCAATTGCGGGTTCTTGATGGAGAAGTTTCAAGTCAGTTGCAATCGAAACCATTGGAGTATGGAAAAGGAAACTTTCAATTTCAATCATTACTGGAGACCAGAAGTGAACTACCTAGTGGGAACGGCAATCATAGGGGTAACGTCTCGTCTATCCTTGAATGTTTGTCAAAGGGTTAAGATCTCGACAAATTTAAGTTGATCAAGCCTTATTCTTTAAAAATCATTGTTATCCTTAAACTCAAAAAAAAGTTTTCGTAGGACATAGGGGCACTTTGAACAAGCAACCACCTACCACCCCCAACTTCAAAATTTCAAACTTGATACACGTAAATACAAAGCGTGATTTTCATTAATGCCATAAAAGACGTATGATGTTTAAATAAAAAGGTTCATTTAACAGAAAAGTAAAAGGTCATTCCTCTTTTGTTTCTTTTTGCCGCCCTAGCCGATTGCATTCGCAGGGGATGCAATCGGGATCGTTACTTTACTTGAAAATGAGGGCGCATTCTCCTGATGTTAGGTACATTAGGACCCTCAATCTCCAACGTACTTTCGTCGATCAAAATCGCTCTGGAAAATCGCACTTTTTCGCCAGGAAAGAAATTTTTCTTCCACTAAAACTACATGGGACGCCGAACTACGACGAAACCACTCGAAAAGGTGACTTCAAATCGTGACTCATTCGCGCTACCTACCTGTTGAGCTGGCGGTAAAATGAAATTTAAAGCAGTTTTACTTTGTGCTGAGTTGTGGAAGTTTGTGTGCGTGTAATTTACGTGAAAATCACGTATTTATTATTATCGCGTCGCGCTCGCCAGGATTTGGCAGTTTCTAGTGCAAAACCAAGGTGTTTTTTACCATAGGTGCGATTGTGTGTTATTTTTTACGTCGCCTTTGGAAATGGGTGAGTACCAATTTTCCCGAACCTTGAAGGGTATAAATAATGGTAGCCTGTAAAAATAACCTCCTCGTCTGTTTTCTTTTAAGATTAGTGTTAACCGCTTGCGGCTTAACTTTGAATTTGTAAAACTGTCATAAATTTTAGATTTTCAAGCAAAACAAGAACCTACCGGTACCGGTTATTTTTAAATCGCATTATAAAAGGGGGATCAACGGTCTGGAAAGTCGGTGCCTTTCTGTAAACTTGCCCAAAAGTTGTACGGGGCATTAAAATGTTGATATTGGCGATGATTATGTCATTTTCTTCGGCTCCAATTCACAATTGATAGTTTTATGGATGTACCTACTTTTGAGGTGCCTTGCGAATTTTGTTGTTAAACAAGTTCGCTATTTATGAGACCTTGTATATTTTTGTAAAATATTATTGTATTGCGCATTCCACAGCAGACACGTGATCGTTTATTTAATCTGCGCTAACAATTTTTGATAAAGTATCTCTGGGACCATCTGTTTTTACCTGTACGTCCAATTTAATGATTCACCTTTTCGTTTCGCTCATTTGGAGAAAACATTTCCGATTCCCTTCTTATCTCTAATTGATAATGGAAAGGTTTTATTTGCGGTGAAGGCCAAAATCTGTTTCAATGTTTTCATTTTATTTATCTTTCAACAAATATTCCATAAATGAGCACCAAGATTTGTTTTTAAAGGAAGTGACCTAATGTTAAATAATTTTTTTATCATGCCAGTTTGCTTTTTCTGGTTTTTTGGTGTTCGATTAATGCATTAGTTTATTTCGTTCGTGGTTCATGAATATTTATAGCAGTATTAATAAGCAAAAGAGTGGGTTCTCTACTTGTGAATTAAAAGAAACCACTGCGTTTTTTGTGCAAAAAGCTCATTTTTATGCTAATATTCGCCATATCTGCGACGGTCAAAATAAATTCGTCCAGTTCCTAAGTAAATTCGACATATTTCTATCAGTCCAAGCGCGCGTTTCTGTCACTCCCTCAAAGTGTTTAATGGAGGATGGGATATTCCGGCGGTAATAGATTTCCTTGAACTCAGGATGAGCGAATTTTTCCGGGGGGAGTACAATTTTAGACACGGAAAAAACGCTTTTTTGGAATCTTCCTACATAATCGACAACTGAGAAATTTCGTTTTTTACTCGACATTTTTTTGAAAACTATGAGAAAATCAAACCGTCTACACAAAGTTTGGGACCTCCAAATATTGGAAAGCGCCATTCGGGCTCTGCAGAGCAGGCTCAAAATCATCCTAAAAAATGTATGCTTCTAAATTTCTTAGAAGCTGATTAGACTTCTTAAAAATCTATACTTGAAGTCTTGGTAGGACCAGAAACCTTCATGGAAACTATTTAGGATTCTAAGAAAAGTTCTCTTGGAGGATGCTCACTTCCCTCAACCCTTGTACACATGCTTTTGCAGAAATTCCATACTAGCCCTAGGTTGCATTTGCTTTTTTTTAAGGACATTCGCTTTTGGGATAGTACCAACCTGAATGGGGAAACAAAAAATAACTAGGACCAGGCTGAAGTTAGATTCGTTTTTTGTTTTTTTTTTAAATCAACGGCCTTCGAAAGTAATGACAGAGAGACCTATTTTCATCCCCTTTTTGGAAAAGAGCCCTAAAACTCGACAAATTCGCCTCCGAAGTTGGCAAATTGCGCAAGTGTATGAGTGAGTGAGTTTTGCATGCGGGAGATTAGGGAGTCGTGGTGGCCCCAAGGGCTCACCAAAAGTGCCCCACAGTTCGAAAAATTCGTTTTTGTTTGGCCAATGGCGCGGTATACGAAGTTGCAATTCAAAATTAATTTATTAAAATTGAGTCAGTTTTGCACGAGGAGGATTAGGGCGCCGTGGTGGTCCAAGGGCTCACCTAGAACCCTCTACTTATCGTTTTTCCAAAAGTGTCCTACAGTTCGAAAAATTCGTTTTTGTTTGGTCAATGGTGCGGTATAAGAATAATGCAAGTTGCAGTTCAAAATTAATTTATTAAAATTGAAAAAGTTTTGCACGCGGAGGATTAAGGCGCCGTGGTGGCCCAAGGGATCACTTAAAACCCCCTACCTATCGTTTTTCCAAAAGTGCCCCAAAGTTCGAAAAATTCAGTTTTGTTTGGTCAATGGCGCGGTATACAAATAATGCAAGTTACCTCGCAAGTTACAATTCAAAATTAATTTATTAAAATTCAGTGAGTTTTGCACGCGGAGGATTAGGTCGCCGTGGTGGCTCAAGGGCTCACTTAAAACCCTCTACCTATCGTTTTTCGAAAAGGGCCCCACAGTTCGAAAAATTCGCTTATGTTTGGTCAATGGCGAGATATACGAATAATGCAAGTTACACTTCAAAATTAATTTATTAAAATTGAGTGAGATTTGCACGCGGAGGATTAGGGCCCCGTGGTGGTCCAAGGGCTCATCTAAAATCCCCTCCCTATCGTTTTTCAAAAAGTGGCCCACAGTTCGAAAAATTCGCTTTTGTTTGGTCAATGGCGCGGTATACGAATAATGCAAGTTGCAGTTCAAAATTAATTTATTAAAATTGAGTGAGTTTTGCACGCGGAGGGTTAGGGCGCCGTGGTGGCCCAAGGGCTCGCCTAACACCCCCTACCTATCGTTTTTCCAAAAGTGTCCCACAGTTCGAAAAATTCGCTTTTGTTTGATCAATGGCGCGGTATACGGATAATGCAAGTTACAATTCAAAATTAACTTACCTATTAAAATTGAGTGAGTTTTACACGCGGAGGATTAGGGCGCCGTGGTGGTCCAAAGGCTCACATAAAACCCTCTACCTGTTGTTTTTCCAAAAATGCCTCACAGTTCGAAAAATTCGCTTTTGTTTGATCAATGGCACGGGACTTATACGAATAATGCAAGTTGCAATTAAAAATTAATTTATTAAAATTGAGTGAGTTTTGCAGGCGGAGAATTAGGGGGCCGTAGTGACCCAAGGGATCACCTAAAACCCCTCCCTATCGTTTTTCCAAAAGTGCTCCACAGTTCGAAAAATTCCCTTTTGTTTGGTCAATGGCGCGGTATAAGAATAATGCAAGTTGCAGTTCAAAATTAATTTATTAAAATTGAGTGGGTTTTGCACGCGGAGGATTAGGGCGCCGTGATGGCCCAAGGGCTCACCTAACACCCCCTACCTATCGTTTTTCCAAAAATGCCCTACAGTTCGAAAAATTCGCTTTTCTTTGGTCAATGGCGCGGTCTCGGGCGCGGTATACGAATAATGCATGTTACAATTAAAAATTAATTTATTAAAATTGAGTGAGTTTTGCACGCGGAGGATCAGGGCGCCGTGATGGTCCAAGGGCTCACCTAAAACCCCCTCCCTATCGTTTTTCAAAAAGTGCCCCACAGTTCGAAAAATTTGCTTTTGTTTGGTAAATGGCGCGGTATACGAATAATGCAAGTTGCAGTTCAAAATTAATTTATTAAAATTGAGTGAGTTTTACATGCGGAGGATTAGGGCACCGTGGTGGCCCATGGGCTCACCTAACACTCTCTATCTATCGTTTTTCCAAAAGTGATCCACAGTTCGAAAAATTCGCTTTTGTTTGGTCAATGGCGCGGTATACGAATAATGCAAGTGGCAATTCAAAATTAATTTATTAAAATTGAGTGAGTTTTGCACGGGGAGGAGTAGGGCGCCGTGGTGGCCCAAGGGCTCACCTATAACCCCCTATCTGTCTGTACAGTATAAGCATTTTGGGTGCGTCGAGGAGTGCGTTTTTCCAACTCCCTTGCGATATCGAAGCTTTCCCGCAAGATTAAAGAGGATTATGTAATTTAAATGAGTGCATCTCTGTGAGAATGCGGGGATCCCTACGCAAATTATTTTTGAAAAATGATCCCATTACAACTAAATAAAAAAATCAAAAAACCTTTTTGAGAATTTACACGCTGCCGAGGTTGTTGATTTCCAAAATAGGTACGAGCAAATTGGTTTGCGGAGGTTTCGGGTTAAAATTAAGGAATTATTGAAAAATGAGAACTTTAATAACGAAAGAACAGTAGGTAGGTAACTTTTTGAATTGGATGACACAGGATACTAAACTTTTCCCCCCGCTTTTCCCAATATTGGTACCAAACTGTGAAATTGTTCTAAAATTTGTATTTCTCGGTTGGACATTTGTAAAATCTAACTACAGATTTGCAAGTAGAAAACTGTCTATTATGGACTTATGGACGGAGGAAAAGCAGGTCTCATTTACAGTTAATCGGGGGGGAAATCTCATAGAATTTCGTACACCAAACATCCACGGGCTATACTTGGCCATCCTCAGATTTTCATGGATATTCTTGGATCTCTATGGATATCCTTGGAACCGATTTTCCAAGAGACTTTGATTACGCTTTGTAATTTCAAAAAATTGCATACTTCTTTTTTGCAAGTACTCTATCACAACAACACAACAAATAAAAATTATTTAGCTATAGGTACTCGAATATCTTTTTCCAATATCACACAGTCTTTGAGTTATAGTCCAAGGTTGAACACGACAGTGCAAGTATTGTTGTATGTTTAATTTCAAAAAGTACAACTTTGCGCTAGAACTCGGAAACTGTTCCGTGTGGGAAAAGGATAAAATTCTATTATACTTTGATTCTATGCTTTTTCGATATTTTTCGTACAGTTTTCATGCGTATTTTCAATGTGACACTAATGGCGGACTTTTTTTAATAATTGACACGTTGCTATGTCAAATCGATCAAAACGGCCAAACGCAATCCACGTGTCTGGGAAAAGTAGGTGGAGAATTTGAAAATATCCCTTGGCAAATTAGTACATCGTGTTCAATATACAGGGTGGCAATTTGAAAACTTACCACCCCCCCATGTTTCCCTTGGCTACCCGCGAACATCCACCGATATCTGCGGAAATCATTGGATATTTGTACGCTGGATATCTCCCCCTATTCCCTATCTATTATGGAAATCAAATTGATGTGGATGAAACTCCGCCGACCGACG